GTGTCCAGGGCGAGGGGCGCTGTGGGGAGGGGAGGGGTTACTCACTTCCACTCCGATGGTCGCTGGGCTGCGCTGGGCTCGGCCCGGCTTGCCGCAACAACGCCATCAAGACACATAAACACACGCATTTTCCCGCGCATGAAGCACGTAATTACTAATTACGTCCCGCCCCGCCCCGCCCGGCATCGCCAGAACGAATCCCCCGTGACCCCGACCTCTGGACAGGGGGGAAGGGGAAGAGGGCTGCTAGCTGTAACGGCGCTTATTCATTTCACAGGAACCGAAGCAAGCGTCGTCCACCACCGGCACCTCCAACCTGCTGTGCCTCTTCTTCCTGGGCCGCCCCGCCCCACCCCGCCACGCCCCCGCCGCCGCGCCCCGCCGGGATGCGCGGCGCGTTTATCCCAGCCAAATATATCCGTCGGCGCGGGGATGCCGCCGGCAGCGCTGCCTTGGCGCTGCCTGCTACGTGCCCGTCATGCACCAGGCCCGGGGCTCGCCAAGCCCCGCCCCGCCTCGCCGCAGGGGTCAGGCCCGTCAGGCCCGTCAGGCCAGAAGGCCAAACCTCGGGCCGAACACTCGGAGCCAAAGGGCAATTAAAACCATTTCCCAACTTTCAAACTGTCGTACTTATCATAAACGACCTCAACAGTTTTAACCGTTAAAATGTGCGTCACTCATTGAACGAATTTTAAATGTTGATCGACGCGCTCAAAATACGTAACCCTGGCTCGACGTTTCCGTGACTTTTCGGCGTTTTTTGCGTGTGGGTAGGCAACGCGCCGGCAGCCGTGTCTCGCGGGAGTGCCTACCCCGCAGGCGATTGCGATTGAGATTAATGGCTGGACCGCGCGCTCGCTCCGCTCCGTACAGTACACCGCGTCGTTTCGGCCGCGTGACGCGCGGTGCGCGCCCGACCTCCGGACCGAAATTGAAGCTCGTGAGCCATTAGGAAGCGGCGGGACGATTTCTCTCCTGGAATTAGCGAAAATATGGTTTCCGCGCGTGGCGTGGCGTGGTCCGGTGTGGTCTCCGGCGCGGCGCGGTGCGAGTGTGGAGTGTAGCGGGCCAGGCGGGGGTTGTCGCGCTGCCGCACTGCGGCACTGCGGGATGGACTGGCGAGTGCTTGATGCATTTGCCGTTGGCTCGGCGGCTCGGCAGATCGGCCGCCGCGGCGCGGCATGGCGGTGCGACGCGGCGTCGGCAGCCGGCAAGGCAGTCGGCCAACAAGCGGCCATCCGCCCCGCGGCGGCGCGCGAGCTGCGCGGTTGTGCTGCGACGCGGGCTCAGGCTCCAGGCTCCGGCCAGGCCGTACAAGGCGTCCTCCCCCCCCCCCCCCCCGTCCCGTCCGTCCGCGGCGCTGCCTGTCAAAGAGAAACGCACAAACGACGATAAAATATTCCAGGACATTCTATAAATTGTTGCTTCCGAATATGGCGGCGAGCTGTCCTCCGAATGGCTTCGGCGGCTTCGGCTCGCGGAGACAGAGGCAGCGGCGAGGAGGCTCGGACGGGCCGGCCGACGGGGGCGCGACCCTAAGGACCCCCTCCCGCGACCCTTAAGGGTCGGTCCTTATAGGAGGGCAAGCCGACCCAACGACCCCGCGAGGGCTTGGCCGCGGACTCATCCCAGCCAGTCGGACCGCCAGTCCGCCGTCGTGCGTTCAAGTCGCCGCCGAGCCAGCAGCCGCTTGCGTCCAGGACCGCCAGCACCGCCCGGCCCTTCCGTCGCTCTGTCTCTGTCGCACGCAAGATGCGTCCCGCATGGGCCCGAGAGAGACAGCGCGACGGCTCTCGGTCTGCGGGACGTCGCCGAGGAGCCGAACGCCTCTCGCGCCCCAGGGGCGTACGCCGGCACACTGGAAGACCCTCGCAAGTCCGGCCCAACCCGCGGCACTTGCCCGTCGAGGCGGCGGGGGGCTGGGCCCCGAGTGGGCCTAACGGGACCCGTGCCGCGGGTTATCAAGTCGTCAGGACGAGGGGGAAAGGGGGGGGGGGCATCGGGATGATCGCTACTCGTTAAAAAGCCGGGAGTAACATATCGGCGCAAAAGTACACCCCGACGGGCCGGGCCGGGCGGCGCCTCGGTGCAGCGGGCCACCGGCGGGGTGGAGGCTGTGGCCTGGGCTGCAGCACCGCAGCACCGCCCGCGACGATCCCCGGCCAATTATTGCTGCAGGCCTCAGCGCGGGGGGAATTAAAGGCCCGCCTCATTCGCAGGCATGCATCGAGAAAGACGTGCAATCAAAAACAAAAACAAAAGTGCAAAAACACACACAAAAACAACACAAGTTTTACACAGCGTAAAAAGAAAATGGTTTTGAAAATCTACGATTTGAGCTAAACTTGTTGCGCGAAAATAAAAATCAAAGTCGTTTTTTCCCCGGGGGCTGCGGTTTGGCAGGAAAGCCCGGGGCGAGCGCGCCCTAGTGAATGGGGCCGATCGGCAGCGCGATGACCCACAACCCACACTGGCAGCGGCCCCAGCACAGGTGTGTCCCTGCCCGACCCGGCCCGCTTTGGGGGAGGGGGTGGGGGGCCTTTATTTTCTCGATAGCAGTCGTCCTGAGGGCTTCCACCATCCGGACGACGCACACACGGTTCCCGCAGCTCTCTCACACACACATACACACACACACACACACACACACTCCGCGGAGTTCGACCCACACGGCCGAACGACGCCGTTCGATTTCGGGACGCCCGGGGAGGCCGACTTAAAATGCGGAGGGGCAAAAAATACGGGGCAACACATCGCCATGAATTTGACAGGCTGCCAGATAGAAGATAAAGGCCGGGCGTTCGTACGGATCGGCTTGCGCGGCGGCGCGCTAGACCGCTGCGAGCTAGAAGCTTTTATTTATTCGTTATCGCTGTGCTTCGTTGCTGGATTATTTTCGCTGCTGTTTTTTTTTTTTCGTGCGTCCCCTTTCGCATGAGGACGGCGTGCGTGGTGCGTGGTCCCTGAGGACTTTCTTCTGAATTTGGGGCGACCTCGTGTTCCGCACACGTCCTTATCACTGGACATCTCCCGGCTGTCTGCCTGGCTGTCTGCCTGCCTGCCGGGCTGCCCGCCGCCCGCCCGGACAGCGCTTTTGCATCAACACTTTGTATACTTATCGAGCAGCGCGGTCGCGAGGCAAGGAAGAAGAGAAGAAAAAAGAGTTAAGAGAAAGCAAACTTATCTCTATCCGTTTTGCGGTCGTACGAGGACCCTGGCGAACGGCGACGCTAGCGGCGGGGGCTCGCCGAACCACTGTTTTTATTTTTTTACGTTTTCTCTTAATCTGGTGAAAGAGGCATGGCGGGGTTAGCCAGGTGGCTTGCATTGCAACATTTTAACGAGTTAACTCGGCGTCGTGCGGCGACGCGACATGATTGGCCACTGCTTCGCTTCGCCATGCCGTCGCAGCCATGCCGAGGACGTCGACGACGTCGCCGCCCCTTAGCACTCCGTCTCTCTCTTATCGACCACTCTGCTGAATCGATGCGAACGGGCGGACGGACAGACAGACAGGCAGACAGACGGACAGACAGACAGACAGACAGGCAGACAGACAGACAGACAGACAGACAGACAGACAGACAGACAGACAGACAGACGGACACATCGCCGCCACAATAATGGACCTCTGTGTCGGCCTCGAAAACGGGGGCCTCGACCGCAGGACCGCAGCGGCCACTCTCTAAAACGGTGGCAGATTCAGATTCGGATTCAGAGAGCGGCCGGAGTGGAGGCTACTACACGCGGCGACGGCGACGCGGCGCGACGCGGCGACGCACGGGGCTAATGAGTTTCCGTGTTCATTAGAAGGACCAGGCCACTTACAGGCCGGGCTGCCGGCCCACTCCGAAGAACAGTGCCTCTGTCTCTGTCGCACTCCCGCAGGGCCGCGAGAGAGCCAGCCCACTGCGGACGCTGGTGGACCGACGGGGGCGATGCTGGGCCGCTGCTGCAGTGACCGCCACCGCCGCCAACGAGGCCCGCTTAGCTTGTGTGCGTGCGGCACTGCGACGCAGTGCGTGTGTTTTTGTTTCTGTGGGAGGGCTTTTGTTGTCGCTGCCGCGCCACGGCGGAGGTCAAGAAGAGTTGCTTCGCGCTGCGACAGCATTTCCTGCTCCAGGCCGCGGAGGTCAGGGGCGCGGGTTCGAATGCAGGTTTGTTTTCTTTTTCGGGAGCGCGGGAAGCCTTGACGGCTGATGGGTCCTCTTTTCAAACTACCTGCTCGCGGCTTCACACCTACCTGGAGCCCCACCCGCCCTACGGTCGCGTGCCTAGGCAGACCCGTTCCGAGAGTCAGTGTCGTCGCTGTCTCTCTCGCACTCGTGGGGCGCCCCGTATGGGTGCGAGAGAGAGAGAGCGAGTCTCGGGATGACGCTGCAGGGCTGCCGGGCGCCACTTGCCCCTCCCAGGCGTGGAGGCCCTGCAGCAGCCCGCGCGTCCTCGCGGTGCGACTCCGCCGACGGAAATGAGAAAATCAATGAGTGGTTGACTCGTGCCGCGGCGTGGCGGCGTCGGCGGCGTGCCGGGTCGGCCACCCACCGGCCGATAGACCGATTTGGTTCCATTGACTCGCCGCCCAGCTCAGCGCGGCAGCGCGGCACTAGGCGCAAGTTCTTTGGCTTGTTAGTAAACACAATTACTTTGAGGATAGCTGCGCCTCGCCTCGCCTCGCCGCGCCACGCCGCGACACACCGACACACCTGCAGGGGCCTTGCGCCTCGCTGGACCATGGAGTCCGCGGCGAGGCGCGGCGAGAGGCGGCGCGGGGCGGCGCGGGCGGCGCGGGGCGGCGCGGGGCGGCGCGGGGCGGCAGGGCGGCGAGGTGAGGGGCCGAGCCGGCGGGCCATCCTTGCGGTGAGCGGGGAGGCGGCCGAGGTAAGACCGGAGCGGCGCGGCGGCGCGGCCCATGGCGGCGACGCGGCGGAGGGCAGCGGGGGCGCGGGGGAGCGGGGCCCGGCCGGGGCTCGCTGGCGGCCGCGCCAGGTATCTCAGTGCGGGCTGTGCCCTGGCTGTGGTGCCGAGCTGAGGAGTAGAGCTTGTGTGTGGAGTGCTTCGCCTTCCAGTGAACCCAGTGTGTCTGTGTGTGTGTGCGTCCCGTGCGCGCGCGTTCGTGTGTGTGTGACAGTGTCGCGTGTGCCATACAGTGTGTAGTGGAGTAGTGTGATACCATCGTGTGAAGCGTCTTCCTCATCATCTCCTCGTGCGTGCCGCCGTGTGCGACTAGCCCCTGCCGGAGCCAGACCCTGCAGGTTAGTCCAGTTTGCTAGCCGCCCCTCCCCCCACCCCTTCCACCCCCCTCCCCTCCCCCTTAATTAGGCACCACTACACTTGTTGATGCTAATGCGGCGCCGCTTTTGGGCCGCTTGCTTTGGCTTGGTGGCGCGCCGTGGCGCGGCGCCTGCGTGCGCGATGCGTGCGTGTGATAGTGCGTTCGGCGACGGCGTCCTCGGCGACCACGACGGCGACCCGGCCCGGCCCGCCGCTGGCCGCGAGGGCCCCTGCGTCCTTGCGATCCTGCAATACTGAGACCTGGCTGAAGAACTTTTCGAATTTCGCGCCGCGGCGGCCGGCCGGCCGGGTGTGCCCGCCGAGGTGCCCGTCGAGGTCTCGAAGCCGCCGTTGCCAGCAGCCCCAGTCACGGAAACTCCGGCGCCCCTCCATGCACGCCTCCTCCATGCACGCCTCCGCGGCCGGCTGCCTGACGGCGAAGACGGAGTGCAGCGGAGTGCGTGCTAAGTGCAGTAACAGTGAAGGGACGACAGGGCGGGGCAGGGCGCCGCGGCCGGGTGGCCGCCCGGAGACTTGAATGGTGTGTGCACGTGTGTGTGTCTGTGTGCGCGCGCGGAACGCGGCGTGGCGCCAGCGAAGGGCGGCGCGCGGCGGCCGCGTTGGGTATTTGTCTTTCACCGTCCCGACGGTCTCGATACTGAGACTAATGCCAGAATGTCATTGAGCCTGGCTGGAATGGAGCGCGCGCTCGGCGGGCGCAGCGGGCGGGTGAGAGAGAGAGAGAGAGAGAGAGAGAGAGAGAGAGAGAGAGAGAGAGAGAGAAAGAGAGAGAAAGAGAGAAAAAACACCAGCCGTTGCATGAGAAAGTGTTTTTTGTCGATGTGTGTATGTGTACCTGCGCACGTGTAAGTGTGTATGTGTGATTATTGCGCTCTTCTGCATGCGCCCTGGAGGCCTGGAGGCTTGGAGGCCTGCAGGCCCGGAGCCTGGGCACGATCCAGGATCCACGCGCACTGCTGCTGCCAACAATAATCGGGAAAGCCAAAACCCTTTCGCCGCGGCGCGGTGCGGCGCGGTGCAGTGCGGTGCAGCGCCCACAGTGCCAGAGACGCTATCTGCGGGGTGCAGTAAGTGGTGGTAATAAAACCAACAGGAGAGCGAGTGCGGCGGAGGAGGAGGCGAAAAAGCGAAAAAAAAGGAAAAGAGCACACACGCAGTGTGTGGCTCTAATAGAGGATCTTAACCCGCGGCTGCTCTTGTGTGGTCAGAGTGCGGTCAGCGCCGCCAGGCTTTCTGCGGTCGCGACGCTCTGTCTCTCTCGCACCCTCACGCGTCCGAGTGTGACAGAGACTCGCGGATTCGCGCGGCAGCCCAGTCAGCCGCCTTCCGTGTCACTGGGGGTGCGAATGGACTCGTTGTTGTTGTTGAGGTGGTGGTGGTGGTTTCTAGCGCGGGAAATGGGGGACAAGGGTGGGCGGGGTGCCGGGGAAGGACCGCCGGGGTCGCGACCGCCAGCCGCCGCTAGGAGGCGGTAGGCTAGGCGTGCCACGCCACGCAGTGCCACGCGGATCTGTTTGTCCACAACTCCCCGCCGCCGGCGAGTGTGTGTGTGTTTGTGTGTATGTGTGAATGCGTGTGTGTGCGCCGGTGTGTTTGAACGGCTAGGACGAGTGCATGTTTTGTTTGCTCGGTTGGTACCCGCGGCCCCGCGCGCACGTTCCCTCGCTGGAGGATGTTTGACGGCCGCACGGCCGCATAGGTGTGCGCTCGGAGGCATTGCCCCCACACGCGGAGATTAGCGGCTCGCCCTGCCACGACATCGGCGTCCAGGACGAGCACCGCGTCGACCGTCTCTGCCGCGGTGGCTGCAACTCGGTCGGCCAGACGGCCGCTGCCTTCCAGTGCGCTGGTTTTGCAAGCCGCGGCCTAACGACGCCGGCCGCGCACCTGTCGCACGGCGACGACGGCGGCGTCGGCAAAAATGCGCGCCGCAGTCTCGTTTTTTATAGTTGGGTTAAGGTGGCGGCTAGATTAATGTAGTGCGCGCTTTTGCGCCGCGTTTACGGGGCGACGAACGGCGCGCTCGATTGATGAATATTTAATGCAATGAGCGGCCGGCCGACCTCACGGCCTCACGGCGGCAGTGTGGCCAACTCGCTGAAATAATAAAAACGGGAGGGCCGGCGTGCTGAGAGGCCCCCGAACAGCGGCGTACGTCTCCCTCGCACTCCAAGGGAGTGCTCCGGGAGTGCGAGAGAGACAGCGGAATGAGCGTGCATGCCGGCCGGCCAGATTGACAAAGTGCACCTGTGCACCGGGCCGACTTGTTAATATCGAGCCGTGATTAATCTCTGCCATTCTCATCCCGCGACCGGCCCGGTGGCGGAGTGGCGCGGAGTGGCGGGGCTCGAGTCCGACAGTCCGACCGCCAGTCCGACCGCCACCTGAAAATCATTAAATTCTCTCGATCGAATTACTCTGCCCAAAGCTCTCGGTGCACGGCGGGCAGGGCGAGGGGCCTCCGTCCGATCGGGGCGTTTAGATAAGGGCACTGCGAGTGCTGCTGCAGGCTCGTTCCGAACAGTGCTCTCGTCGCTCCGTCTCTCTCGCACCCCCGCGGGAAGCTCCATTAGTGCGAGAGAGACAGGACCCCCCTTCGGAACCGACCCGACGCTCGTTTGCGCGATCATCAGGCGCGGGATGGCCGATGGACCCGAGCGCGGCGCAGCCCGGCGGCCCGATCACTCAAAGTGGCGGAGTGGCCGTCGACGCCGTCCTGGGCCGTCCTGGGCCGTCCTGGGCCCGGGCACGGAGACACGTCGCCGTAACAAGACCACAAGACCCTGCGGGCTGCAGTGAGCCGAGCGAGGGAAAAGTTTGTTCAAAGTCGATGTCCGCTTCCGAGTCCGTCAGACTGTCGGTCTCAACAAAATTGACAGCGATCCCCCCGAGACAAGGGGAAAGAGTACGAAAACCGCATCGAGTTGTTGTTGTTGTTGTTGTTGTTGTTGTTGTTGTGGTTGTGAACTGGGTTAAGTATGACAAGCACACGTGACGTCGCGGTCCCTTCGCAGTGGCCCTGCGTGTTGCAGCCCCGGGCCTGCCGGGCCTGCCGGGCCTGCCGAGGCAAGGCATTTGGGTGGACGCGCGGACGCATCAGAACGGGTTCAATGTTACCGTTAGCAAGGGCCAAAGTCGCCGTGCGGGGCGGGGCGGGGCGGGGCGGGGCGGGGCAGCCAGGCCTGCAGGCCGGCCAACCTGACACGGACATGGCGAACTGGACGGCGCGACGCGCGGTGCGGCCGTCGGTCCGTCGGGCCGTCCGTCGGATCGAATTTCGAAAGCTCCACCGGACCCTCGTTCCCCCGGAATCTGGCCGGGTCCCTGCCAGGTCCATGCCAGGCCCGCCAGTGGCCGGGGGGCGCCGAAATGCAGGAGCCTGCCAGCGTCTGTCTCGCAAGCGGGTCGGGAGGGGACGTCGGGACAGGCGTCCACACACCGAGCGACGGTGACCTGCTTTTGTCAGTTGCATTTCCGAGTTCGGTTTGCCAACGGTGGTCTTTAAAAACATGTAATGGTTAATTTTTGTTCATTTTTTTAGTCTTTGACGCTCGGCTCGCGTCTATTATAGCACTTTTAGGCGGGGTCCTTGGCGTCCAGGCCTCGCTGACGTCGTCGGAGATTGCGGCAACCTTGCGTCCGTCCTTGCAGTCTGTTTGATTTCCTTTCCGGCTGCTGATGGGCACCGCGCCCCACCCCGCCCCGCCACGCCCCGCCCCGCCCCGCGCCGCGCACCTGAGCCTCCAGGATTATGTAAAAACGACGTCATCTCGGCGGGGCGGGCCGGCCGCGCTGGGGCTGCACTGCACTTGCGCCCCAGCCGGCGCATGTACGTATGCTGGTCGTAAAACCTGCGACATTGTGGCGGCTCGGGCGGGGCTCCAGCTGGCCGGGGATAAAAGGGCCCCCGGAGGGGACCGAGGGGGGGGGGGGGCACGGCGACAGGGCAGGCCCCCAGGGGCCCCAGGCTCCAGGCCGCAGCCACCCATAAAACGAGAGATCCCCATCGCAGGGCCCGCGGAGGGGAGTCCAATCCTCCGAGGTCCGAACGGTCCGAACTCCGAACGCGGACCCGGGGCCGGCGGGGCCCCAGTGGGGTCGGGGCGCGGAGGGGCAGGCGACAGGGCTCCTGTTGCTCCCACAGCATCGGGTCAGTTTGATTCCAAACAGCGCTTTCCGTCCTTCTCGCGCTCATCGGGCGCCCCGTGGGGGTGCGAGTGAGAGAGAGCCAAGTGTTCGGAACGGAGCGGCGCTGCAGGGCCTGGGCCTCTGGCCTGGGCTGGGCCGCTGGGCCCCGTGCGCGGCTGCGCGGGGAAAGTGGGCCCCGCCCTCCACGCGCCCTTCAAACGCCCTTCACACTCGGCAGGGGCCGCACCGGCCGGCATCGCATCGGTCCACCATCGGTCGGCCTCGAAGGCAGCCCGAAGGCAAGCCGAAGACACCCGAAGTGGCCGCGCCACAAACTTTGGCGTGCAAGCGCGCCGGGCATGGCGAGCTTGGCTGCGCGCTGCGCGCTGCGTCCGTGACGTGGCGGAGGCCGAGCAGGCCGAGCTGGCCGAGTGGGTGGCTGTGCAGGCTGTGCAGGCTGCTGAGTGGCTCCTGGCAGCGCGCCCCTCCCGGATACACTGCATCGGCCCAGCCTGCCAGACACTGCCAGCCTGCCCACGGTCCGTGTTCACTCTTGTTTTTGGCGGCCCTGCTGCCGCCTAACTCCAAACAGGGCTGCGTCTCTCGCACGAATCTCGGGATCGAACTGGCGAGAAGGTTCAGCCCTCCTCATCATTATGGGACAAAGGCGAGGAATCCACTGGTTGGAGTCCTGTTTAGCGACTCTGGGGCTCAAAACGCGTACAGAGTTTTGGCCGACTCCACCGGTCTTCTGGCCCACTGTACGCCTGCTTGCTGCTTGCCTGCGGTTGTATCAGATGACCCGGCCGCGCCAGCGGCTGGAGTGCCTGGA